ATCATGATGATCACGTAGACTAAAAGTGTTGCTTGCGTATCTTCAAAGACGTTAAGTTAAAGAACTGCACGTAGATTCCAGCTAAAACTACGCCAGAAAGGAGAGCATGTGGGGATTCTGCAAAACTGCTTGCATATGATATTATCAAATTTGAAATTTACATAGCTAGTTTTATCAGACGTAAATCACTATCAAAGTACCCTATGTCATCTGGAATCAGATTATTCAGGGCGAGATTCGCGTTCTTTCATTTTGTTACTAGTTTCGACCAATGCAACTTCCAAAACTATGCCCCATGGAGTTCCTATTTTGATATGATCGCATCACATATGCTGGATCTTCGAAGATCCCTGCTTCCCGAGTTATTCTCGAAGCGTATTTGGTTTAAGGTTCAGCATCTTCTTAGGAAGCTGCAGTTTCAATGTGTCACAGCGCTGGCTTCTGACTGCCCAGTCTTTATCATTCCAGGAGCTATATTGTTGCTTGAAGTTTTCATGCGCACATTATCTGCCAAATGTGAATGATATAAATTGATTACCTCCTGCAACATCCAAGATGCCACGTTAACACTAAATTTACTGAAACAACGTTTGTACCCCTTTACACGGTTATACTTCAGATTCATGATAACCCTTAAATCGACAGGGAATGGCACCTTAATCGACGAACAAACACCTCAGCTTGCTTTTCGTTATGAAAAATGCCTTTCACACAAGATCCATTATAAGATTTTCGCCGCGACAACCAGCCAGCTATCGAGGTATGGTCAAGGTGGCAAAAGTGATTGATGCACGCTGCCCAAAATTGAGTATCTTCGATATGAGGCATGAAATTGAACGATGATGCGATGTGAGCGGTGATAAGCTTCTTACAACAGGTCCGTAGTTGTATTCTGAGCAACCTTCTTAATGGCATAAATAGAAAGATCGAGCACAAAATATCCGATTTTGATCGAGATCGTGTTAACAGTCCATGTTTACTAGACATCTTCGAGATGTGGGGAAGAAGCTATATGTATTTGCACAAATCGTAACAATTTATTGCCATCGATCAGCATCGCTGATAACATATTCATTGTCGTCTTGAAAAATCCAACTGGTATCTGGGCATCCACGTTAGAGTTGAGAGGGGCCAGTTCTCAACGAGTAGTCGGATAAGTTCTGCTTGTAACATGGCATTAGTCGTAGAAAACTTGGTACTTGAGGCCGATGCACAAACGGTCATCGCTCCGGCTTCACAACGCCACCGCAACATTACCAGCTTTTTTCGATCCATTGTTGGATAAAGGCTTCTCGAAGAATTGGCCACAAGCTTCTCTTTTCTGCCATTTTTGTCCTTCTTGATGCAGATTTCATTGTCAGCTCATCGTGCCATCGATCTGAAAGCATTTCTAACGGCCGCGTACCCTCTCCTGGAGCCCAATCTGATGTCTCCATGACTCCGCGACTACCGATTCATCCTGCAACGTGTCCAGCCCTTTGTGACCGCTTCGTTCGTGCAGTGGCATCGCAGGCTTTAGCTGATGCTCTCATCCATTCATTCGTCCTCTTATCCTTTCTTCTTGTTTCCAACATGCATATAACCATGCGCCATCGCCACTTAACGAACTTAATTTTTTAGGGCCAAACCGTGTTCCAGACCATTCGAGTCTACAACAAGGTGCTAAACCTTCTTAACGAACAGCAGCTTGAAGATCACATACTTCATAACAAAGGTATGATCGCATGCCACCGAGTGGTTTCCGTGCTGCATTGAGAAGTCGGTCGAACGATTTGCTTAAAACCTGATACAATTACATAGTTCTACTAAACGTGATACGTATATTAGGCCTTATTTTACCGTTTAAAAAATAAACGTCCTTCGTCGCTGTTGAAACGTTACACTCCTCATTAACCGACATAGCGCTTTGCTTTCCCGGCTACGCTACTTCAAACTGAACAGTGGTAGGACTCCGCATAACAGTTACTGCTTCGACAGTCTGCGAAGGTGTTACATTTTCGTTCATGGAACGCGCCATTTCTAAGGTGAGAATTCCCACTGATCGCAGCGGCAATATCAAATCGTGCTTTCCACTGCTGCTCGCTACCTACCTCACCGACAGGTGAATTCAGAGGTTACTTCTAGCGACGCTTTCAGCAAGTGACTCACTCATGCGAGAAACTACTCAGCATTTGTCGCTGTAATTAACACGTTTTCAGGTTTTAGTTAAAAGTTAGAATCTGTCAAAGAAAAACAAGGTGAATCACGCAACGCATGACTTTCGGATCAGATTCAAATCTGTTGTTGAAGGGAAAACGACCGGTATTTTGATTCAATCTCCAGAGTAAAGGGTATGACGAATGACGCAGAAAAACAACGGCATCAACCAGTAGCAAGTGAACAGGACAAGATGGCCAAAATCCGGCTTATTTGTGGAACAGGAACGTTCGCCAAGAAAAAAAAACTTCACAAATCCTAACTTGTTCTATCACCATTTATAAGCGTGACGACAATCAATGAAAGAACTAGAAAACACGTTTAGTGCAGCGCTAGAAATGTACCGTTACAGAAGGGAAATGCAGTCAAATGGATTAGTGTTTCGAAAGCGTGTTATAAGTAAGTAAAGTATCGTTTGAAATGGAGTTATTTGTGAGAGCTATTTTGCCACCACTAATCCCGACATACCAACAGAGATTCTGGAGGTCATCCTGCCCTTTACAAAACAGATACAAAGGAGGTAATTTAGTAATTCTGACTCCACCTAGAGGAAACTCACGTTGGACATGGAGGCACCGTATTTCTCCTCTTGCATTTTCCCACCTTATTATCGAATATGCATGACGACTTAGAAAAGAATATCTATCTTCATGGAGTCGTTGCTGCATGACAGGTTACGCGAAACTAACGAGCGTGATTGCCCAAGACGCCGGTCAAAGATGTTCTCCATCAGACCTATTCATGCTGATCGGTGCAAAACAAACGAAAGTCGAACTTCCTCTGGTCTTCCCATTTCTGTGCTGTGTTCGCTGCGTCCATTGCTGGCCAAGAAATCTGATGGTAGGTTCGATCCAGCATACTTTGGCTGTGGGTCAAAGTTAAGTTAGTCAATTTATGACAGTACTGTTCGATAGCTCGCCTTGAATATGGCACTACGTGCTTCATCCGGAAGTTCGGTAAAAGCACAAAAAATTCCTCAAAAAGTAACTAATCAATGCCTATTGGATTATGACAAATCTATGACTATCTGTCCATAATAAAATTTACACCATTTAAAACAGTGCACGTGATTTAATCTGCACTGAACATCTTTGGAGGGTGCAGCTGGCTGTGGTGGACGGTAACATCGAAAAGTAACTTACTGTTCACCAGGAACATATCTCCTGATTACTTCAGGTCAGAAAGTCATC